TGTGCCAGAACGCCCACCACACACCAGCTTTATTGGTGGAGAGGAGACAGAGTGATGAAGCCAATCAGCACATATGGGGAAGATTAGGAGGTCATGATGGTCAGAGGCCAATGGACGAATTTGGCCAGGATGCCGGGGTTACACCCCTACTCTTTTTCGAAGGACATCCTGGGATTTTTAATGACCACAGAGAGTCAGGACCTCGGTTTAACGTCTCATCCGAAAGATGGTGCTTTTTGTCAGTATAGTGCCCCCATCACTACACTGGGGCGTTAGGACCTATCTAATATGTTTTTTTGTTATTTGTTATACTTTTCATTATTGTGACTATATAGTTCCTTTAAAGAAAAAAAACCCTTTATACAACTTTATAATGTACCATTTAAAATGTGCATAAACAGTTATGGGTAGACTAGACAAAACAGGACAGCAACTGCTTACAGTTCCTATCAACTCCTACCAGTAGTGTTTTTAATCACACAGTAATTAATTCAAAATATTTTACCCTGTGTGTGTTCTACAGCCCTGTTTTGAGGGTCTTTGTAATTATCATTATTTATCACCATGACAAAACATTAGGCCTAAGACCACACACGTTCACAGGATAATGTGTGTGCTCGTATGTGTCCTGAGGTTAGGGCTGGCATATTCTTGTGTGTGTGTGTGTGTGTGTGTGTGTGTGTGTGGGAGACAGTGTATGTGGGAGTGTACATGTGTGTCCGTGTGTGTGTGAAGTGCTCATTTTCAGGGGAAGCAGTCAGGTTGGCCCCTGCTGGTTCAGCTGTTGGCAGTGTGGTGCTCTTGGGGGGTTTGAGCCCCTGCGCTGACCCTAAGGCTTACAGAGAGGGATTACAGCCTGTAATACTATCTCATCAACCCACCATCAAAACACACGGACGGACAAAACTTTAGAGGGCCAGAACAGAATAACTCTTCGGACTGAATTAAGCATAAATTAATTTTAAAACTGTTTTAAGCATGCAATTTCATTTAAAATAGCTTTAAAGTTTAATATGAGATGATAAAAGACTATGTCACTCTAAAGTTCAAAACTATGTGAAATCAAAAATATACAGTTTTTCTCTTTTACTTTCGAGGGTTAAAACAAGTGCTAAAAACTGCAGTTAAAATTGTGAGGTTTGACACATTTCATATTTAACATCATATTGTATTTAAACAGAAAATCATAGCTATATTGCATTTATTTAAAATAAAATTGTACATTTTCACATTTACATCATATTGCATTTCACTGTAATATGTCTGAATGATTTGCTTTTGTGTTTTTATCATTATTCTCACTAATACTAATGATTTTCATTTATGTAATAAAGTAAGAATAACCTTGCATTTGTTAAATATTATTATAATCCAATAATATAAAACCAATATTTAAAAAATATTATATACACACAAAATATTAAACTCAAAACTCTTCTGCAAGACACTTTGGATCAAAGTGTCTCCTAAATGCATGCATTTAAATTGAAAACAACATTATTTTACAAAATAGTAAGATTAAGTTTTAAAAACAATTTACCCAGATCCTCCAACAAACATGTCATACAAAACAACAAAACAAAACAAATCAAACAAAACCACACTTCTTTTGACGACAAGATCAAAACATACTTCACATCTATTCATACAAGCAGTACTATAATCATTGTCCTCTAGGTGGCAGTATGGGAAAGCAAGTCTTGATGTCCCATTGGCGATAGTCATGCATCAGCCCACTCTTACTGTAAATTATGACACTCATGCATCATAATGCAGTCAGGCTGAGTTGCAGCGGTGGGATTAGCGATGACTAGACGGATTTCTATATGCATACTCATATTCTACATCAAGCTTTACATAATCAATTAAATGGATATTTCACACCAAAAGTAAATGTTGTCATTATTAACTCACCCTCAGGTCGTTTCAAACATATTAAAAAATGAGTTGTTGGTCAGTAATGATGATTTGGTAACTGAGTAGAAGTAGTAGTAGTATTTCTAAGTTTTATAAATTTTTGACTTTCACAGGCTTTTTTCAGTCACACTCCTCTGCGACACACTTGCAATCATCCTCCGCCCAGCCCTTGTGCTTCAGGCTCACAGGAAGAGTCACATTGTGAAGGTTTTGAAAGGGAACAGGCAAATGTGCTAGTCTAGCACTTACGCTAAATGCACTTGCACCTACAAAAATGTGTGTGGTTCAAGATGTGTGACTCCAGCAACTAAACGTGTGGCCCACCCTGTGGTTGAGCATAATATATGAATAAAGTATCCACAGTTTATTGTGTAAAAACTACAATTTTAATCTTTCTGAAGAAAATGTGAGTGACGTTGCCCCAATGTTAAGGTGCTGGGGTAGTGTAAGTGGGTTTTACTATGCTGTTAATATAAAATTGCTAGGGTGTTGTACGTCTAAAATATTTGTTCCTTATTTTTTCATCCACCAAGTCTGAGGTTTATTCCCATGCTAAAATAGCTCTACAGGCCGTAATTTAAAAAAAGGTATTGTGTTTTTTTGTTTTTTTTTTCATATGTGTAGTTATATTTAGCTGAGTGATTCATCATGCTATTTTTTATTATTATTATTCCCACTAATACTGATGATTTTCTTTACTGTAATAATGTATATATATTGAGTATTATTACATTTTAAAACCAATTCCCTCAGGGTCCTCAACAAACAAACATATAATCTCTATGTGCAAAACAAAACAAAACTAAACAAAAAAACAGTATGATTACATTTTAAAAACAATTTTCTCAAGGTCCTCCAACAAACAAACATATCATCTCTATGTGCAAAACAAAAAAAAACAAACAAAAAAAACAGTATGATTACATTTTGAAAATAATTTCCTCAAGGTCCTCCAACAAACAAACATGCCAGCTCTATATGCAAAACAACAAAAAAAAACAAAATAAAACAAAAACAGATTGATTACATTTTAAAAACAATTTCCTCAGAGTACTCAACAAACAAACATATCATCTCTATGTGAAAAACAAAACAAAACAAAACAAAAAACAGTATGATTACATTTTTAAAACAATTCCCTCAGGGTCCTCAACAAATAAACATATCATCTCTATGTGCAAAACAAACAAAAAAACAAACAAAAAAAACAGTATGATTACATTTTAAAAACAATTTCCTCAGGGTCCTCAACAAATAAACATCATCTCTATGTGAAAAAACAAAACAAAAAATAAAACAGTTTGATTACATTTTAAAAACAATTTCCTCAGCGTCCTCAACAAACAAACATATCATCTCTATGTGCAAAACAAAACAAAAAAAACAGTATGATTACATTTTGAAAATAATTTCCTCAGGGTCCTCAACAAACAAACATATAATCTCTATGTGCAAAACAAAAAAAAAACAAAAAAAAAAAACAGTATGATTACATTTTAAAAACAATTGCATCAGGGTCCTCAACAAACAAACATCATCTCTATGTGCAAAAAAACCCCCAAAAAAACGGTATGATTACATTTTGAAAACAATTTCCTCAGGGTCCTCAACAAATAAACATATCATCTCTATGTGCAAAACAAAACAAAACAAAAAATAAAACAGTTTGATTACATTTTAAAAACAATTTCCTCAGGGTCCTCAACAAATAAACATATCATCTCTATGTGCAAAACAAACAAAAAAACAAACAAAAAAAACAGTATGATTACATTTTAAAAACAATTTCCTCAGGGTCCTCAACAAATAAACATCATCTCTATGTGCAAGACAAAAAAAAACAAAAACAAACAAACAAAACAAAAAATAAAACAGTTTGATTACATTTTAAAAACAATTGCCTCAGGGTCCTCAACAAATAAACATCATCTCTATGTGCAAGACAAAAAAAAACAAAAACAAACAAACAAAACAAAAAATAAAACAGTTTGATTACATTTTAAAAACAATTGCCTCAGGGTCCTCAACAAATAAACATCATCTCTATGTGCAAGACAAAAAAAAACAAAAACAAACAAACAAAACAAAAAATAAAACAGTTTGATTACATTTTAAAAACAATTGCCTCAGGGTCCTCAACAAATAAACATCATCTCTATGTGCAAGACAAAAAAAAACAAAAACAAACAAACAAAACAAAAAATAAAACAGTTTGATTACATTTTAAAAACAATTGCCTCAGGGTCCTCAACAAATAAACATCATCTCTATGTGCAAGACAAAAAAAAACAAAAACAAACAAACAAAACAAAAAATAAAACAGTTTGATTACATTTTAAAAACAATTGCCTCAGGGTCCTCAACAAATAAACATCATCTCTATGTGCAAGACAAAAAAAAACAAAAACAAACAAACAAAAAAAAAAACCAGTATGATTACATTTTAAAAACAATTTCCTCAGGGTCCTCAACAAACAAACATCATCTCTATGTGCAAGACAAAAAAACAAAAACAAAACAAAAAAAAACTGTATGATTACATTTTGAAAACAATTTCCTCAGGGTCCTCAACAAATAAACATCATCTCTATGTGCAAGACAAAAAAACAAAAACAAAACAAAAAAAAACTGTATGATTACATTTTGAAAACAATTTCCTCAGGGTCCTCAACAAATAAACATCATCTCTATGTGCAAGACAAAA